GAACGTGAGGCGGACAAGAGAACAGACGATTCCGTACCGAATCGACTAGGAACGTAAGATGTAAATTTTCACGCACGAGTGCAAGGTTTGACAGGCAAAGCGAAGGTGAGTCAAAGGTAGTGGCATCGATCGCGGACCGCCACAAGTCTAACTTCCAAATGCTATTAATTTCCTAATGAATGAAGAGGTTCGCGTTCCAGCTATTTGCATAGACAAGGAAGAAGACTTGTCGAGGACCGGATCAATTGGTTTATTGTTCTGAGCTTTCGAACTCTTACAGGGGATTTCTCATCTTTCAGAGATGAGAAGTAGCAACCAAAAGGAGGGTAATTATAGTGACCATAGGCCAATTAACTATTTTTTTCCATGAAACTAGCCGACACAGCCCAAGCACGATTTTACGGTCTGCCGAAAGTACACAAAGAAAGCATACCGCTTAGGCCCATTGTCTCCCTTCGCGGATCCCTTACGTACGGATTGGAAAAATTGATGTTCACGCGTCTCAATTTCCTGGCAGTAGGCTCAACAGCAACCGTAGCTTCTGCCAAACAGTCCCTTTAACGAATAAAGCATCTGAAGTTAGAGCCAGATGAATCCCTGGTATCCTTCGATGTTGTCTCATTCTTCATCTCTGTCCCGCAGTAACTAGCAATTTATGTTGTGAGACAACTTCTAACTGAGCGCTACGAAGAGCGCGACAATCCCCTGAAGTTTAAACATCTGCTTGAACTTCTGCGACATTGCCCCAAAACCTAATTCATATTTGGTGGATAAATGTATGAAAAAATTAAAGGCACTCCCATGGGCTCCTCCCTATCAGGCCTGATTTCTGAAATGGTGGTCCTATGGATAGAACACTTGGTCTTCACCGAGCATCAACTGAACCGAAATTTTGGGCTCTTTATGTCGATGACACTTTCGTCATTTTCCAAATATCTGACATCGAACACCTCAAAGAGGTACGGAACTCGGTTGATCCAAATATCCAATTCATGAGAGAAGCTGAAAGAAATAACCTACTACCATACCTTGATGACCTTGTGCGTCGGTGTTCAACTGGACTTATGCAAATTACGGTATTCAGAAAAGTCACCAGCACAAATCAAGTACTGTATTTCAATAGCAATCACCCCATGCCCCAAAAATGTAGCTGCGTTCGTACTCTATCCAAAGATTTGAAAAACATTGCAACCCATCAGCTGACAAAAGAGCCGAACTACAATACTTTCAGGAAGTCTTCCGAGCTAATGGATACCCAAACTCATTTATCAAACAATGCAAGCACCGAGTGAACAGATGACGGCCAGGGCAACAGCAACCCGAAGTCTGGAGGGCCATTCCCTGCATTAAAGAGGTCTCCGAAACAGTCTTACGACTGCTAAAATCCTCTGGAGAAGGCATGGCACATCACCCTCAGTCGACAATACGCCACCGTGTGATGCAGCCTAAAGACAGACTGCCTCCTACTGAAACCTCTTTAGTTTTCTGCAAGATATTTTGCAACGAAAGAGACTGTGATTACTTTGGAGAAACAGGCCGAAAATTGCAGACTCGCCTACACGAGCACACAGAGACTAGACCCAAACTCGCAACTTGCACCACGCATCGCAGAGACTGGCCAAGACTTTAATCTTCAATGAGCGACCATCGTAGGCCTAGAAACCTCAAAAGCCGAAAAGCTGACGCTTGAGATATGGTACTGAGATGCCAACTCTGTCAGACGCATCTGGACCTGCCCGCGGCCTGAAAAACCCTCCGCCATTATGTGGGCAAAGTACAGAACAAGGTCAAGCCGAACGTAAGGATGGCAAGCGAAGAGGACCCCACGACGAACAGGCCAGAATAAGAGGCAGGGTTACCAGTGTTGTAACGGAGGCCCAGGCCGAGATATCACCTCGCCAAATTGTTATAACGGACGCCCAGGCCAAAATATTCGCCGTCTAACTACGCCTCATGTGAGCTTCCAAAGAGAGAACACAACAGGAGGTGGGCAGAAAGCGGAAGTCTTTTTGTATATCAGGTACAGCGTATTTAGGAAGCAAACGTGTGTAAACGATGTTCCCTTAGCCAATCAGATTTCCTCCTGAAATAGTGGCCGGTCCCATTGGCTGTTGGCTCAGGGAGTAAATGTAGC